TTAACTTTGTTATAGATTTGATTATGGAAATAGCCCTATCCTCGTGCGAGGATAGTGGCATAAATTTGCCCCCAGGTGGAAGACTTCTATCTGGGGGTATACAGACGACATTGTGCTACTAAGTAAAGATTCAGATAGATTGTAAGCTTTTCTGTATATCTTGAGTACCAGCGTAGACCTGTTTGGTATGTTTTGCACCTTCAAAGTGTAAAATGTTGCCACAAGACTGGGTGGGTCCAGCACCTACGCTAGCTCCAGCAGGAAAAGTAATACAGCAGGTGGACAAGTTTTGTTATTTGGCCAGGTATATCAGTTGAGATTTGCTAACTTGAGGCATCTTTGGCACTGCCGCAATATCCGGCTATCTGTAAAGGGTCGAGTACGTGCTGTGGCAGTTCGGACAGTTCTGTTATACGCCGCAGAAAGTTGATCATTAGGAAAACAAGATAAAGATAGACTGTCGATATTTGAACACCGCTGTCTACGCAGCAACGGTGAGACATCCGTTCAATCAATGCTGGGGTTAGGCGCAGAGTTTTGGGTAAATGCGATCGCCACTGGAGCAAGTGGTCGACCTCCATAGATTACGCTGGTTAGGGCATGTGTTAAGCATGTCATCAAATAAGTTGCCACGGCGCGTGATGTTTGTCGAGACAGATAGTGAGTGAGAAAAGTGAAGGGTGGTCAAAATAAGACCTGGCACGAGGAGATGAAAACGTTATCCAGGAGACTGGGTCACGTAGAACCCGTTAGGCTCCCTGGATGGGGCCTCAGGATGACCGTAACCGGTGGTTATAGACGCTGGCTGAGTCTCAAACAACGGCGTTGGTGCATCTCAAATTCTTTACAACCTTGGTCCACTGAAATTATCCATTTTCTCGTTGATTCTACTTTCAACCTTCCTGTCTTTCACTTACCGCTTCATCCAGTTGGGCAGCCAAAAGAAAACCAAAACCGACGCATTGAAGTGCATTGGTAAGGTTTGTGCAAAATGAACTAAAACCTCCGTACCGCTTCGATTGAGATTGGCAGATTGCTTGCTCTTACGAAGTGCATCGCACGAGAAAACCCCGGTTTGCATAAGGAGCTTTGAAACTCTGAGATTTGCTCCCGTAAGAAGAGCACCACAACAGGATCAGTCTCAGTTTCAGTTTGAAA